TTGTTCAAAAAATGTACATTTGAACATGCCATCATTAAGATATGACATACCTGTTATTTATGTGAGCATATGCATAATACTAATCTTTTGTTATTTGAATGTACTCAGTGTGCATTTGTGTGTGTGATTTCATAACGTCAACAACAATAGGGTCAGGCATTCAAGCTGCTTTAGATCTATAAAAGAAATATGTCCAAATATGGTTAAACATGGTGAGGCATGATATGAAATATTATTGCTCATTAGGTTTCTCACAGCGTAACGGGAACAGGCTGTACATGATGATAATAAAAAAAACATGGTAATTATTCTCAAATCTGTGTTCTTTTTTTTTGTAGCAAATTGCTGGCAATGAAAAGACTTCGAGATGAGGAAGCTGAAATAATGAGTGATGTACCAGGTTGGGTTGTTGGTGAGAGCGTCTACAACAGTGAAAGATGGGTGTGGCCCTCAAACGAGGAATTCTACAATCTTCTTGCCAAAAAGGATAGATTTAGCAAAATCCATGAATATTATTTGCATGTCTGAAATATAATGTGTATGCTTTTTGTTTTTTTGAATTTTTGTTAATAATATTAGTTTCAAGAAAAGCGTGTGAGATAACGAAAGATGTTAGGTATATATCGCTGCACTATTACAGTACTTCCCTGTGGTTTTATTGGACCATATTCGATCTGATCAATAAGTTCTCTGTGCTATTTTAGATATCAAGAATAAATAATTTGTGTTTGTTGGATAACTGCATTGTTTGAGTGAACTTGAATGCAAAGACTTCTTTTTGATGCCTGTTTAATAGTTTGATTGAATTAATACTATCTAGATATGTACATGTACCTTGGGTCGGCCTTTATTAAATTAAATCATCATCATTATTGTTGTATAACTGAGTTGAGTAAATCATGGGTAATATTTGCTACGTTCACACACAGCATTTTATCGGAGCCCAACGACTCGAGCCGGCTTGAGCCAGCAAAAATAGCCATGTAAATGCGTTTGGCTCGAGCCAAGTTCGGCTCTACTAAACCCTAGGGGTTGAACTTCGATAGGGTTGAGTCCCGACATGGCTCCGATCATGTAAACGCATCGGACCCAACTATTGGAGCCGAAATCACGCCCTCAATCGTTCTTCGAGTAACCTCTCATTTCAATTATGGCAGAGACAACATCTTTCATAATTTCACGCAATTTCCGGCTTGAATAAGATGTACCCGTCCTAATATATAGTAACGAATTATTGCGATAAATTGATAGCTCAATGGGAAACAGAAAATGGTGTACGAAATTATGCGACAAAAACTCGAAAGAACGATTGAACGGAAACTTTTTAAAGACACTAAAGATAAAAATCATAGAAGCGATCGCTGTACGATGACGTGTTCCTGGTAGGTTTAGATTCTTCCATAATTTCTCTATGATAGAGAATCTGTGATGCTTCCTAGTAGTTTAGATATCACTACAGTTGAATAATTACAAAATGGTAATTTTGCCTGTATTAAACGCATTTTAGCTGCCGTGTTTCCTGTTTATTTGAGATACTAATACCTAAATCATAGTACCAGTCATTGTCTTTTCTACCGCCATGCTTTTTTTTCCTAGCCCAACAGCATCATGCCATGTAAAGAAAAAACACAAGCACGACACTAAAATCGTTTTCAGTCACTAATTATTCAAGGGCACTGTTTCGTTCGACTCTGATCGAACTGAATCGAACTCTGGCAGATCTCGGCTCTTGTTCGGCTCTGTATGAACACATTGGAGATAATCTGCTGTTAATCCGTGGGAGGAGAAGTAGTTCGGCTCCGATAGAATGCTGCCGCGTGAACATAGCAATAATGATACTATTAAACTTATCAGTGATAAGATCTAAACACAGTCACTAAGCCAAGATTATTTATTTCCCTGCTATGATGTTTATGTAACTACCAACCCCCACCCCTGTAAATGCATGCACTTAAAATGGCTAGACTGTTTGCTAGAAAAGGTTTATCTGTAAACCTTTTTGTTTTGCCGAATATGTTATTTTTAGTTCTCATTCTAACAACGTTAACATTTAAAATTCGGTCTCCGTCCATCCGGAGTCGTATTTCAGAACCCTGTTGACCAAATCTGTTCATTCTTTGCATGTGCCTAGTACTTTATTTGGGACATGTGCACATGCAGCAGTTTACTGATTCAAACCAAGATGGCTGACTGGCAGCCATTATACTGGTACATGTTAGAATACATGTCTATGACGATTCGTTTCGTGATAAGATCAAAGATGGCCGTTTGGCAGCCATCTTGCTTTTTGACCATGCTATTATACCCTCAAGACTTTTGGACCATTTTCATTCATACTTGGCAAGTTCATGTCAATTTGTTCTATAATCTGATGATTTAAGATGGCCGACTGGCATCCTTGTTTTTTGGAAAATGTGGCATCTTGGACAGGATTTGTTGGTTTTGTTTAAAATTGATACAAACATTATACATGTTGAGATACATGTCCGTGATGATTCATTTAGTTTTTGAATCCAAAATGACTTGTTTTTTACTCCTCAAATTATACATTAGTTTAACAATCGGATAAAAGATGTTTGACTGCCTAAAATTTTATTTTTTGACCATACTACTGTATCTCTGTACATGACCATGGACAAATGAAATTCAGTTTGGATACAATAATATCATATCCTGTTTAAAATACTGACCATATATTTTGATATGGAAGAGTAATATACTACATATAATTTCTGTTGATACTAGACCAGCCAATTATTAATTCTCAATTACTAATTATGCTTTTGGTCCATAATACTTTATTTTTGGCATGAATAACATTACCCCTAATTCCAACTGGGACTATGTCATTAACAAAGACTTGTCATCAATAATTTTTCACATCCATCTTGACACCATCTCTGCAGCTTTTTAGCTCTGCTGTCATAAAAGATGTTCGTGAAGATAGCTTCAATTCTATATTTTTGGCAAATATTTTTGTCATTTTTGGTAAAAAAAATGGGTGTGCATTGGTTGACTTGGCTACCACAATGTTCTTGTAGGACAGCGGAGCTATTTCGACCATCAGGTCACTTGTTTGAGACTACTGAAGATTTGAGAGCTATCTATGATCAACAAACCCTTGAACATATGTTGCAGAAAGACTACACATTACTTCACATGAAGGTGTGCTGTTGGTGATCTGTGTTATGTAAGCCATGTCAACATTAACGCTTTGACACAAAACCATTTGACGTAAATCCTTTTTTTTTTTTTTATTCATTCATAAAAATAAAGTACAAAACATTTTTTTTTTAAATCGCAGTCAGAGTAACATATGTATTGCTTTCTCTCACTTCAAACAATTAGCGAGAACACTTCAAAAGGACATGCAGTTAGAAAATAAAATGTGTAATAACGTCCATGTAAAAAAATATAACTGGAGCATTTTGTATCGTACAAACCTTGCATGTCTCGGGCCTACTACAAACACTTATGAAATGGACAGAGGAAATAAATGGCGACGACAGCACTGCCTAATTTGCTCTACTAAGGTATCTCAAATGGAAATGCCCATAATCCCAAAACTGCATATTATTGTATGATGGATCATTAGGTTTTTGAGCAAGTACATGCACTACTAATAGAGCAAATATGATATATCAAGCTGTTCATTCTAGCCATCACTGGGCACTGTTTAAAATATGTAAATAAATGTTTTTCACATGCGTTATTTGTGGCTAAAACATGTGCAATGCAATGACCACAACCCATCAAATTATTTGTCATTCAGACTGTTTTGATTTGCCATATTTTAGGTTCTGAAGACTACTCTTCTGTTTGTTTCATATTTTCCAGTCTGCATTTCTGCACAACGCATGTGGTACATATCTATAAAATACGATCTCATGGTAAGATTGACATTGGTTTCTTAATAATTTCTCTACATTAATTGCACAAGTTAGTAAAAATATAAATACAGCAACATTAATTCTCAGTTGTCTGTAGAAAAAGAAGACTAAAATGAATTCTGCAAAGCAGTTGGAACGGATAAAAACTGACATCAGTGGCAGTATGAAAATCACTGCCCTTGCTTTGTCACAGATGAGTTGCCACTTTGTGTGTTATGGAATTAAACTGACAAACAAACAAAAATGTTAAAACACACATTTTGTAATTACTAGTAGCTGAATGTAGGCAGTATGCGATGAGAAATTACAATTTTTTTGTATCTTGTCTATAATATTCTTGAATTTTAACACTATTTTTTAACTAGACTGCCATATACAAATGTTTTTGCCTTGCTAAATACTTATGAATGGCGATGTATTTATGGTATGTCAGTCGTGCCCTCCCCAATGTTGTGTTCAAAAGGCTATTCCACTGTAGTTAAGACCATCTAGTTCGATCATCCTACAACCATCACCCATTTGAGCCAAGTGGTGTGTATTTATGGTAATGTGAATTGCTGGTAAATGAATTTTTATTTGAAAAACAATTTATATTCCAGCTTTCTAAGTGCTATTTGAATATGCATGGCTTGAAAATCTGTTCATTTGGTACCACAAAGATTATTTTATCTCAGTTTTGGCGCTTATGGACCTTTGAATGTAGAACATAGAACTTTTGTCAAATAAATGAAAACGAGACATTGAATATTAATTTCTATGTTGTCTTGGCATTGTTCATTAACATAATTGTGGAACATCAGATGTGAGGATAATGAAGCAAATACAATCTGTGGATGAATTTAATTTTGAATTTATAAATTTTATGACATGATCAGTATGCATAATTTAGGTTGAATACTGTCCTTCACCGTATAGCTCTATTTATTCTGAATTGCTGAATGTTCCGAGTGGTACTGAGCTTCGCTGCATGCGTCCTCTGTCGTAGTGGTATTTATCGGTGGACTTGGGCGTGTAGGAAGTTAGATGTGTTGTATCAAAGAAACGGTCATCGTGCAGTGGCGGCTCGAAATGAGTACTCTTCAACTGAAATCAAAACAGACATAGAAGAGATAAATGTAAGAAGGATAGTTTGAGGTGGTCAGATATTGAGGGCAATAAAATACATGTGTACAAACATTTATTGTCATCATGTATTCAAGTTCTCATAGTTGTTTGTATTGCACTTCAGGCCTAAGGGGATTGCTTGAAACTGAAAAATGCAACTTCAAAGAAAAAAAAATTGTGCATAACAGATACAGTTGGGGTTCATATGACCCCTCCACCACCTCCATCCCACTACACCCAACATCTGAAGATAAGCAGTCTTTTTGGTTTACTTATTTATTTTTTCACATAGGAACAAACTGGGTAAAATAAAATTCTGGATTCGTTCCTGGTGTGAAAAAGATGTCACCCTTTAGGATACCAAATTTGTACATCGAGATATTCAACAAATGAACCTAACAATAAATCAATTTATTTTTAATACCAACATTATTTTTTTTAATTATTGGACCAAATTTTTATTCTGTATGGTGTAACTAGTGTTGATTACCTTTTTCATAATATCTTTACTCTTTGCAGGTTTACTTCTATGTACAGGGAAATCGCTCCAAGTTGTTGCTTTATGGACCTCGTCCCCTGAAATAATTTCATTTCACATATTAAATAAACTAAAACAATAGTTTTAATGAAGTGGAAAGAAAAATTACCCCCCCCCCCCACCCATATTGCAATCAAGCATTTGACACCAACAACTTCAATCACTTGAAATGCAATTATATTGTTGTATAATATAATAATTGTATAAATGAATAATTATTCATTCTGTGTAATCTATAGAATACTCTATATTCTACTGTTTCCTATTGTTTCAAATGACTTACCATAATAATCCATGGGCACGTTGCTTTTGTAATGATGTGAGGCGGCCCGCTCCATAGAAACGCTTGTGGGTGGGAATGCATCTTTCTCCGTAGTGCTGTAGAATTTATGGGATAATTTGGGTTCTCCAAATGTCACATTACTGACAGTTCGTTTATCTGCTCCCGAGATTATGAAATGTCTATAATCTGAGGGTGGCTGAAATTATAAATAGAAATATAGTGATTTTAGTTTTTCACAATGTCTACATGACCCATACAATCCAGAAATTGAACTTGTGTTCTATTTCAAATGAAACGTTTGCACATTCGACAAAAAAACACGTAGTTGCCACTAGAGGGCGATATTCTCAACTTGAATATCGAAATTTCAAGGAATTGATTATTCATAGTTTTATGTGTATTGAAGCAGACTTACCGCTGTGTGGTAAACATTAGATGTCGTTGTACTGATTCTTTGCAATACTCTTTCTGGGTGAAGATCGCCCTCTGGAAATGAACTCACTCCCATGTCTGGTTTCTGAGCTAATTCACAATTTACTATATAAATGAAATAACCAATAAATAAATAAATAATCAATGGATTTCATACAACTCTCCTCTGTATGTATGTATTTTTGTCGTATATGCGAACTTTGCGACATAAAAACGAAAGTACATTAAACAGATGTTAGGGGGCGTGCTAGCCATATTTGGAGAGATTACTACTGTTTATCGTCTTGCACTAGTATATAGTTAATGTTGTAATTATTTCAAATTATTATCTCACCTCTGATCTTAGGGTTGTACGAATCAGCAGCAGTGCTGTCATATCTGTCGTATTTACTGGTGTGGCCAAACTTGAAGTTGGTGCCTTGTATTTTACGGTGAGCGTCGGACTTCTCGTAAGGTACACACGTTGATTTCAAAGGTTTGGGGAAGGACGCTTTCTGTGTTGTATGATGCTCGAACACCTTCTCCTTGTCTCCTTGTGGGATGTTCGATCCAGTTGTCTGTTTAAACAAAGTAGAGCAGGGACTTAGACCATTCAATATTGGTTTCTGGGAGTAATCGATATCGATTGGTGGGTTACTCAATTTATTTTCGTTTGTTGGACCAATGTTTCTGGATAAATGTTTCCCAATGTTAATTTTATGACATTTGTCTAAATGACCGAAATTGTCATCTAAGTGTAAGGCCGTCGCTGATTGGCTGCTGAGCTGGAATGCAAATTTTTAGTTTCAAATACCCCAGGAAAGTGTTCTAGGTTCTTCGTGTAATTAGGTGTTCGTATGCAAGGGATTTTTCCACACAAAAACGACGAATTCAGCCGAATTTTGTTATCGGTTGGCTTAATATAACCCCAACGGTCCGTATTTTTGTGAAAGATTGGTATTTTTGTCCTGATTTGTAGGAGTCTGAAAAACGCGTTTTACAACTTTCACAGTTTTACGGGAAATAAAAAGGGCTTTTTACAAATTACAAGGAAAAAAAGACGTTTTTACAGTTTACAGTGAAAATTGAATTTTGCAGTGAATTGTGTCATCTAGTCGTTTTACAGTTTCGAAAATGGCTTTTCGGCTTTTTTTATTTGGATGTAAATTCTTGTACGTACCGAGAAAAATGACACATTTTTACAGTTTACGAAACAAATATTTGATTGATTACGTTGTACGTCTAGCCTGTGATTACAGAATTACGGAATTTATTTTTTCAATTTACGTTGTACGAACAAAAAAATATTGCAATTACGTTGAACGAAAATAACCCTTGCCCCCTCTATTTAGTTGTATGCGTCATTAAAGATGGCGGCCCCCATATAGTAAATATCGCATTTATTGTATTATATCAGGTGTGCGCCAGCTGACTGTGCACTGTACTATGCATTTCTATGGGCTCTGTGCGCGCTGCTGTGGAACGCCGGTCGGGAAAACAACACAAACTCAACTTTGAAGTAATCCTGAACAACCAAATTTTTACATGTTACACAAGTAGGGCTAATCTTGTTACACTGTTCAAGGGAGTCTTAACAACCATTCCAAAGTACAGTTTTCTGCGATTTTTTGGCCTTTGTTTTCACCGCGATGGTTGCCAGGCGGTGAAAATGCCCGGATGTCCGCCCCGAGGATACGTCATTTTCACGTCACAAAAGCGCTTCGTCACTAGAGGGCGTGTAGATTCGAATATGGCGTATCACTGTTTTCTATTCATTTGCCCCTCGAGACGAAAGATTTAAACTTCAACACTGTCTAAATAAAGGCCACACCGTTCTAACAGAGCACGTTATTTATACAAAGACTTAGAATGAAGTGTCAGAACTGTAACGTCAGCGACTACTTGAGTCGACGGGACGTCGGTGACGTCATTTATTCATAAACTTACGTCTGGTTTAGGATAGTTCACTTTCAAGTGTTTTCCGTAAAATTCGTCTGAACTTGACGTTGAAAACTGAGTGTGAGTTCGATCGTCGCCCAGGATCGTTGATGGACCACCTGTTAACAAAATATATGACTTGTTAGTTGTCATTCGTTTATTGTGTCAGGAAAAATACTCTTGATAAATTGAGAATCGTTACGCAAATCCAGATGTTATTTTTTAGCAAAGAACGGCCATATCGAATTTTCTCGAACGGTCTTAGTGTATGTGTTTTGAGTTAATGTTTTGTTTAATAGCGTAGTGCATGGAATATATAATGACATAGACCTAGGTATTTTTGTGACATTTTAACAGATAACCAGTTTCGGCGTATCGTAGTAGATTGTAGATCATTTGAGTATACCACCACGGTGAGGGGGTAGATCACCGTCTTTCATGGACGGTAATTGGGTTATGTACCATATCTGTTTTTATTGTATACGTACTGGTCCTGTGAACAACGTATTTTACGACGTGCCTGGCATATAACTAGCGCCCTCAGTGAGTACTCGGCTGGGTTCACATTTTCAAATAAAGTGTCAGGGTTAGTGAGATAGCATCGGCTTCAGTTTTAAGACTTCCAACTGCCACAGATCATAAAACACTAGACTATATACTCTGTTATTTTTTGTGAATGTGGGGTACAAAATTGTCATGTTTTTCAACTGTCATTATTTACACGTACAATTTTAAAAAACAGCAACACCAGAATGGAGTTCGTCTGTTCGGGTATACAACAGAAGCATGTTCGGAATCGAGTACGGAATGTTTCTGAATGCACTCCAAACAAGCAGTACCAGCTTTTGGAATATTACCATGTACCTAAAACATACCGTACTTAATAATTAATTCCTACCTGTGTGCATACATGGAGCTTTCTCTATCCTCACTTTATTTGTGTCATGTCCCTGGTATTTATCTCGGTAATCGGACACTGGTGGCGCTGCTTTTCCTTTGTCGCCATCTGGGATGTAACTTTTCGTCGGGTTTTCCTTCTGATGCACACGCGATATCGGCTGGGGAGTGTAATACAGCCCATGCGTTGTACGGAAAGAATCAATCCGCTTGTCGGAACCAATCTTAAAATTCGTTGTCGTGAGTGAGTTACACATTGGGACTTTGCCATAGCCTTTGTCGTAGAAAACCATGTGCGTCTCCGAAACGTTGTCCATTGCCTTAGTTTGATCTCGGTGCATCACTTCCGATGGCATGGGCGGCTCTGATGCAGGCGGTCTGCCAGCATCAATCGGTGGGGCCATGTAGTCCTTTTTAAAAACACTCCGGTGGCGGGCGCTCTTTGCCAGTCGGCGGTCATAACCGATTTTGAAATGCGATGCAGCTAAAAAGTCATTTCCCGTTAGTTGAGCTGGGATCGGGTTGATCGCGGGTAATGTTACTGTCTTAACCGGCATGGTTGCTATGAAAACAAGAGCAACCACTAGCTAAACTGACCTGCAATGAAATCAAATACTGCATATTATTTTCTGTGTCCACAGTTGCTGTACAGTTTTTCACATTTCACATAATCAAGTAAAAAAGTGATCTTACAGTTAGTTACGTTAGGAATATATACACTGTCTCCATACACAGTCCCTCTATAGACGTGCTCCATAGTATTGACAATAGCATTTATCCAAATCACATGTTTTAAATTAGCGTTGATGTTAGGATTATACACTGAGCGTGGTGTATGCCTTTTACAGGCTCACAACTGAAGCCATATTGTTCTGTCAGACTTTGTAAACAAATCTGCCCTTTCAGTACGGGGCTACGACAAATTACGAAAACGCTGCGCCGAAATTTCATCTCGGTTATATCCCTCCATGGATAATAGACGCAGTCACATAACGAGTAATTGCTTTGTAGCCTTTACAAAACATGATGTTGTTGAAGTGTCGGTGCGGTAGTCACGGTCACTAAGTTCGTTGAAGTTTACTGACGCACATTACAGTTTAGAATCGAATGTTTAGTCATCTTCTGCATGACCAACTGAGAATACGGAACATTCCGTCAGCCGTGCTACAGCAGAGACCAAACACGGGGGGGGTTATAGTTGCAGTGGCAGCCACTGTATAGGCTCTGACAACTTTCATAAGATGTCAAATATGAGCCAAATAAACTGACAAAAACAAGGTAAATAACTGGACTTGACACCCGCAGGTTATCATGTACTATTGCAGACAAAAACTCCTGTCAAGCAAAAAGCATTTACTATGTCTGACAGCGACATGAACCGGACCGCTCGGCGGTTATTCCACGGGGCATGTTATAGCATCGCATCGCGTCGTATTCCATATGGGTCCCATGTGACGTCACAGTATACAAAGCCTATAAAATACATTGTTTGTTTGCACGAAATTATATTTATTTATTTATTTTATTTATTTATTAACACACAACATCCCCCGGAGGGGATGAAAAGGGTTACAAATCAGATATTAGTAAAATACGGTGGTGGACTCAACAAGGTACATACATGGCTCGGTAAATCTTCTGTGATTTCCCTTAGAGTTACGACATGCCCGTGTGATAAATTATGATTTTGTGTGTATTTTTTATGAGTATGTATGTTCAATGTATTATTAACCCAAAGTGACATACTAAATATAAACCTTCCCACTTAAGTGTGCTTAGTACAAGAAATATTTCACTGACGATGTCAGGGGACCACTGCAATCTCATCAATCCAGTTTTATGAACTTCGTGGACCCATTGAAAACCAGTCATAGCGACATAAAAGTGAAAAACAAAGTCCACGGTCCATGAACAGTCAGTCCAAGTAATCAGGCTGAATAACATTAAATCTGTCTATACCCTAGAGGTCTGAGAGTTATCTGTCATTCAACAGTGTGGATACGTAAGTGGGTGTGTGTATATATTAATTTACCCTCTTTATTACGATTATAATCAACAGTACTCAGTCTAGTGTGATGTGTTAAAATTAAAGCACGTTATAAAATGTGTGAAAACTAATTTAAGCAATGAAGGAGGTGTGGTTAACATCGTTCTTTAGCAAAGTCTCTATCAGAAATCCCTCTCCCTAACACAGATATGTGGAAACACTTTGCTGAAAATTAAACCTTGGAATTTTACAATAAATACTACGTACATTTTCCATGCAGTTGGTCAGGATCTGGGTAAAAGAAGAATTAACCATACTTGTTTCCATGGATTTCTCCCCAAAACGGCGGCCATTTTGTACAAAGCCGGTTTATTTTTTTTAATTTGAAGACGAGCTAATTTTATTATTGCTCAGTATATTTTGGAGGAATATTTAAATGGCTTGTTCTCATAGGTACACATTCACATGACACTGCTTACTCAACTGTTCATGGAATACGGACTACTACATTTTAAACTAAACTATTTCTATATCAAAAAGAATTTCTTTGTACATTCAAAAAAGTAAGCAAAATATCACGATCCTTATAAAAATGTCCCCTCGTGTACAACTCGTCCTCGCCAAGATGTCCCATGGAAGCACAGGTTAATATGTCTGATTGCTTGGAGTGCGCGTTGTCATGGTGATGGCACTGTGGGCGGCGTATTAATGCCTTCCAAACAATGGTACTAAACGAAGCGTAAACATTGAATGTTGATAGTATACTAACAATGAACGTTTTCATCAATTATTCAGCATTAGTGATGTTATGCGCACATTGTGTCCTTTGTCGTAAAAAAAACGCAATTTCCTGAGGAAAACTCTAAAACTGATACACCAGAGACTGGTCAATATTAATTTCTTTCTTGGCGGACTAAAAAGTCCTTGCTTTAGGCCGATTTTCGCGATCACACCGTGATCCGCAGGGTCAAGTATTTATTTTAACCACCCGTTTCGACATTTTTTACTGCTGTAACATTCTGGCACGCAGCCCGCCGAGACAGGTGCTCTTTGTCGCCACCCCTGACCCTGATATCAGCTTATTCAGATCATTGGAGACTGGATCGATATCTGAACACGTTTGAAGCCAGCCAACTTTATTGTTATATTCAACCCAAACTTACCCCCCTAAGGGGAAACTTTACATAAATCTTGGATATGTTAACAAGTCACATTGACGAGAAACAAATTTAACAATCACCAATAGACGGGCTTCAGTGGAGTGAGGGTTTCTTCTCTTTGTTTGTTTATAAAGGTACCAAGTTAAAGAATTACTCAGTAGCTCATGTTAATACACTATAAGGTAATAATGTAGTTAATTGTAGGCGAACAATAAATAGTAATTTATTACGATGCGAGGCCGCTCAAAGGTAGAGTCTTTTAATACACATTCAACACACTCATAAGTCTCTACTTTGCAGTGAAACGTACATAGTAACACTGTATTTCCAAATGTAATGGAGTATTGTGCCACGGATCGCCTTTCTAAAGAGATATGGCTTTTGTTGAATGGGCGAAAAAATCAATACCGTCGCGCTTACCACAAACTTTACACTGTTGGGAATGTAACATTAGCTTCGTCATGGCAAAATCATACAATATGGCCCGGTGCATTGAATTAACTCGACTACGAATTAAAGGTGAAATTTTATCTTAAAGTAGTAAAAAAAAAGTTTAGCAAGTTTGGTATGATTGTATTTCGTATCAGCACTCTGACGGTCCACTTTCTGACTCTAACTACGGCTATACAAAGTCATTAAATCGCCAATGTTTTTACCGTGAGATAAAAATACAACTAAAAATACAGCTTTCATGTTGATTAGTCGTATTTCAATACTTAGATGTCCCGTGTACGGATCACCGACCATGCGCTCTACTAATATTTATCAGTGGAAACGATTTTGTCTTCACCCCGTTGCACAGAGTTGCAGCTTACTGATACATTGCCTCCGTGAAAGGGAAAAAAATAGTCGTATTATTAACCGTCGACAAACACTTCGAAGAGTATTTCTGAGAACATGACAACGCGCGTACGTGAATCGCCTCGGCGAGTAACAACATGTTTCCTCGCCGCTTTCGGAAACTTTTTGCTCTATAAAATGGTTGATGGGATATCAGTGGACAATGGGCAGTAATGGGAAGTGCTTACCGTGTTAAAGATTTCCACTTGTAGCAGTATCCATCAACGAAAAAGTCAGAGTTGTCCCGGACGGTGTTTTCTATTGTGTTCCGAACGATAATATATTTACAATGCCTGTGCGCGTATATCACTCCTTCATGAGCCTGGCTGTTGCCGAGGAAACGGCGCGCTAGTCACTATAGAGGGCGCTTCGATTATGACGCCTGCTGCGAAGCAGAGCCGAAGTTGGTAGCTAGTCAACAGCACTTCACACCGCTACCGAGAATCCAGCGGGGATTTCCATAATAATAATCAAAAAGTGTGATTTTAAGCCTAAAATTGGGTGAACGAAAAGTTTCAAATTGTGTTGAGTTTAGGTGGTAGACTCTGACATTATTCATTCGAGTACCTCATTCCCGGCCAGAAAATAGTCACGAATATTCCAGGAATTCAATACAGAGTTCAGCATAAGTCATAAACGTTTTCATCAACATGAACTTTAACGTGCTAATTATAAACGCCACGATCACGTTCAAATAAAATTTAATTATATTTTATTTATATAATTAACATTATTATTTAACAATATTAATTTCAAAATGTCGATTAATTCTTGATTAATGTCACAGTTGTAAGGACGTGTCGATTTTCATTCCGACTACAACTTGGGCGAAATGTTGACAATAAATACCAGGCGAGGTGCCAGAAGCAGAACCGGGGGCAATTGTATAACACAATTGAAGGGAATATTGCCCCGAGAAAAGAAATTCAATTTCTATCTAAGTGTCAAAATTACCTGAACACGTGACAGAAGCGAATAATAATGTCTGAGCTACTTCAGTACGCATTCCCAACGACAGAGGGCGCGTTTGAAAAAAAAAAAAAAGATTAGCTCCATGTTCCGATCAGGAAAGTCGGTATCGTATGTTTTTCGTATATATATACTATATACCTTGGGAAAATGTTCACAGTTTCAAGGACATTTACCCACGAATATACAAAAATACACTACGATGATACGCTAAGACTCATAATTGTATTTGATCATATTAATTATCCGTGTGTAATTTCTACTAAATCACGGCCCCTTTATAGGTGGACTGTGAAAGAACTACCAGTTCGTGACGATGTTTACACCTCACCTTTAAGGAACGTATTCGGACGCACTTGTTTTTAGCGTCACAGAGTAAAAGTGTTAATTTTACTAAATTTAATATCTCTGTTTTGATATTTGATATAGACTTGTATACACTATTCCGTTTATGTTTCTTTCTTTTTTTAAATCATGAATAAAATAATGAAAAACTATAAATCAATGTGATCGCGAAATCTCGGGAAAATATATATTTTTTTATCACTGTTTCATAAACACAAACACACAAAGAAAAGACTGCACGCAAGTCACTACAACGGCCCGGCAAGGTCAATGCTGCCTCTCTCAGGCTTCTCGACACTTTCATGAGATGCTGCTATTATTATCTAGAATAGATTTGCCATGCGCACATTTTCGTGACGTTTAAATTGATTTGGGCACAATTTATTTCAATCAATGTGACTCGTCACTGCGAACGACTGTGAATTATTTATTGTGTTATCAGTATGAACAAAAGCAAGTCCGTAGTTGGGAAACCGAGTTCATCATTACATGTTTGCACTAGCTCCAGCCCCGATGAAATGAGCAACAATACTACAGATCTTAAAAGAAAGTCATAAACAACATGTATTTACATCATCATTGGGTCCCATAAACACGTCAATAAAACATTGTTGGCGTATTGCGTGTGACAGTTTGACCATGTTGTATGGAAATTGTAAAATTTCTGTCTATTGTCTACCCCGGCCATTAATCTGTCCTGCAATGACGTGTCAGTATCCTGCCAACTATGAGTCATGTTTACGGATTATCCTACCGATAACAACAAAAATAACCGGTAACGGTAACTGTATTCGATGAATAAAGAAATATGAATGTCTGTAAAATTTATATACAGTATATTTTTACATAGAACTGAGGTTTATGGGGTTTTTTTCTGCGTGGCTGCATGTTTCGCAAGAGGTCTTTGTCTGAGCGCCCTCCGTCGGTCGATACGGAGAGTTAAAGGTCGGTCGAACGGTTAACAAAATGGCGGCCCAAACACTGTGCGGGGAGTCGTTTGGGAAAATCTCCCACTCTTCCGATCTTCTACGGAGGCTAGAACATTATAGAGAAAGTGGTGAGTTGTGTGACATGACACTTGTAATAGAGGGCCTTGAATTCAAGGCGCATCGCGTGGTTCTCGCGGGTTCCAGTCCGTATTTCGAGTCACTGTTTCACAGCAACTTACAGGAATCGCAAACAGGAAGAGTAGAATTGATCTGTACTTCCCCCGATGGTTTGGAATGTATCCTAAAATACATGTACTCAGGACGAATCGAGATCACTGCAGATAATGTCTACGACATTCTCAAGGCTGCTGATCATCTTATGATAACTGAAGTGAAGGGATTTTGTGAAACATTTATGGAGAAGCAATTGACCTCGTCCAACTGTTTACAAGTCAGGGACATAGCCGAGTTGTACGATTTGATGAAATTGAAGGCCTCGGCAGAAGACGCGATTGAGTGCAATTTTTGCGACTTGCTGACACAGGAATCATTTCTTAATCTATCAGCGGAAAGAGTATGCAGCATGATGTCAAATGAGAACATCAAAGTGAAGCGAGAAGAGGAGATATTCGAGTTTGTCGTGCGCTGGACAAATAAAGACATTAACGAAAGAAAAGAACATTTCCCTCGACTTATGAGTTGTGTTCGGCTGTGTCAAGTGGATAAGAAATATTTGCTTGATGTCGTCGAGAAGAATAAACTTGTTGAAGAAAATACTCGGTGTAGAGAGTATGTGAGGGAGGCCATACGATATCATATGGTTCCTGAAGAAGATGTTGTGTGTCATAATTTAAGACTGCAACCCAGGCCGTGTCGACTTGTGGATTTACTCGTAATGGCTGGCGGGACTGGTTATGACATTAATGGGTCATTTGCTACAAATACAGCTTACGGGTATGTATTTTGCGAAGATCGTTGGGTTACGTTACCGCCGTTGCCTGAAAAGATCAGTCGTAGCCCTGCTGTTGCTATGGACAACAAAATGATCGTCATTGGAGGATCCCTACTACTGGATAACTCAAATCATGTATCAATGTTTGATCCACTTGTAAGCGAGTGGAAGACTCTACCCGAAACACGCAATCCCCACCGATTTGGTGAATCCGTAATTTGTAACGGTAGAATCTACGTGCTTGGAGGAAGCCTGTCACCGAGGTCGCTTGAAGTGTTTGACCCAGATCACAATTGTTGGATAGAGAAAGCTTCATCAATGGATGATCATGCTGGATTTGAAATGGTAGTTCTAAATAACCGATACATCTACGCTATGGGTATCCGCGAAGGGGGACTCATCGAATATTATGACACGCACACAGATCAGTGGTTTCGAGTTTCCGAATCGGAAAGTTGGTGCTGGAAGCAAATGAATTGGGAGCCCACCTGTCAAATCTTCCCTCCGCTGATAATGGAAACTCCCACCGCGCTGGAGTTCTCTGGTTTAGGTAGATACAAAGTTGCCATTTCTAAAATGACCAGGAGGATAAGTCTCGAGAACTCTGACATTAATTTGATTCCGGACCCACCGAAGAGGAAAGGTTCTGTCGTTCGTGACATTGGAGATCACGGTATCTTTGTGTATGGTGGTGTCCAGCATTTACCGGATGGCTCAGAGTGCCTAGACAATTCGGCATACTTGTACAAACATTCAAGTAAAACGTGGAAAGAGCTGGCACCCGCACGCAAGCCAATAATGTATCCATCGTGTGCTTTAGTACAGATACCCTATAGTTACATTAGTTCGTGCCAGGGTAGCCACGGCCACTGTTCTTCTTTCAGTTTCACCGATTGAATCCATTTTTTAACTGTAATTGAATCAGCAGCAGTCAGTCAAGTTTTTTTGTGTTTGTTTTGAAAATTTACAAGCTGTTAACCTGTTGTTTCACAGTTGTCTCCCATTGATGAACCAATGTCTACACATTGGGTCCACACATTTGTGTAGAAGTCTGTGTGTCTGTAGCACAGTAGATTCCACAGTGATTGTGAAAACGTGTCAAAATGTGATTCTGTTTCATAAGAGTGGATTTGGGTTTAAAAATTGATGGTTTTCTAGTGCAATATGTAGTGAAGCTGTATTTGCTATTGCAGAAAATGGCTTCTTTCTTTTAAACAGCATGTTTTTTAACATCATAAGGTCATATGATAGAATACATGGACAAAAACAGTATAAAATGCCACGCAAAAAAATTAATAATCCATATGATATATGATGAAAAAAATACTATTAACGCTATTACAAAAATATATGTATTTGTTGATAAAATCTATTCATTTTCACTCATTTTTAACTCATTTTGAAGATTATATTATATCAAAGAAATTAATACCTTAAAAAGTCATTTTGGCAGTAAAGTTATTATTCATAAGATTTCCATGCGAAATAATCCTTGAATAATTATTGATTTTGAAAGTAATGATTTTTGAATTTGTCTGAAAATAGTCAAAACAAATAAGTAAACAAGCACACTGACTTGTATTTGGCTGCCCCCGAGATACATAGTTTATCACAACAATGTAGAATTTACTGTCAATTCTTATCATTCGACCTTTAACTTTTTGAACATCATTTCGCATTCCACAAAATAAATCTGAATAATTTTGATCTTGACTTTTAACCAATGTAAAAATATGTCTATCTGGTCCGGCTCTAACAAAAATTATAGAAAAATATGTAAAATTTGGTGTAAATTGTTGCCGGGAAAAATTAGCACGTTCAAAGTGTTAAATTTTCAACAATTTAATAATTTGAGGACAGTCATGGTGACTTCTGTCTTGAAATGTCATGAATCCCCTTGTCCAAGGAACCCAATAAAATGTCCATTTTAAAATGTGCAATGCTCCTTGTTATACAACATTAAAAATAAAAATCAGTCATGTTACAAGTGGAGTTGTCTCAACATTTGGCTTGACAATTACCCATGGTTCAATATTTTCCCATGGTTCAATGCAAAGTGAAAATGCACATATGTTTGTTGTTGAGTTATTCAGAATTGCTCACAATGCGTGATACTATCATAGATGAAGTCTAGATAAGATTATTTGCGTAAATTTTATGAATGGCTGTCTTTACATGGGCAGACAAAAACTGGATGGAAGCAGAGATAATGAAAATCAATCAGTGGTCTTTATGAAGAATCGTATTTCACAGTTATTAATTAAATTTGAAATTTGGGCAGACAGTATCTTGTGCATGTATGTCATTGGATCTAGTTGCCTGGATACTGTGTCCATGGTTACATCGCCAACTGATATTATGAGCTGATATTATAAAAACAGTCTACATTGAATTGCGCCAGTACTTACTAATAGTATTCCGTAGTTGTGTATTTTGTTTACTTTATACATTTGTTAAAATATAATTCATAGAGGGACTGTAAGTGAAAATGCTACGAAAATTACAGTTTTTGTATCAATTGTTTAATTTTGAATATGATGGAAAATGATTTGAATGATGGTGTTTGGTTGTGTGTTGAATTATATACCGAAAAAGTTTGTGCTAGGGTATAAATGTATTGAGAGGAAAAAAGCACTGTTAATTTCAAAATATAGCGAATGCATGAAACATTGTGTAGTATCTTGTAAGATTTGATGAAAACAGGAAAAAATATTGTTTATTAAAATATTTCAATGTTGTCCTTTTTTCTACATTGATATTTGTCCTATTTAGTGGCAATAATGCTGGTTTGAAATTTTTGGATATTTACAAAATTGATATTAAAGTTCTGAATTGAAAAAAATTGAAATTTTCTGGAGCCACATCCCATTCATTGCAGTGAGTAAATTTCACACATTACAAAGCTATCCTCTTTGAAATGAATACTGTGGAATACTTTATTTTCGCTGAAATTAATTTTCGCTGAAAAGGCTTTTTGGGCGTTTTGTATGGAATTTATTTTCACTGATTTTGGATGAGTATAATGTGAAATATAGGGAAAAAAAGTATATTCGCTAGATTTTATTTTCACTGAATCATCCCTTCAGCGAAAATAGCGAAAATGAATTCAAGTGAAAATAAAGTATTCTACAGTATTTATAAGGCTTTTAGAGTGGATTCTTTTTATACCAGGATTATACATTTTTTTTGTGGTTTGCACGTGTTAGGAAATGTGTGTGTTAATCCAGTCTTCTGTAAAATCACAAATATGAATAAAATTTGCTACTATTCCCTAATTCTGAAAACCACCAATGTTTTACGACTATTGTCTCATTTTTTTAAAGAGCAAACCATGGCTCTATGCTCTGAATATAACTTGCATATTAACTTGTGATTGTTATATTTTGAACAGTTTAGAATGGTTCAGTTCAGCAGATTAAAGATCTCAATGTGTATCATGGGTCAAACTATTCTGATTAAAATATTGGCTTAATTGTTTTATTTTAATGATATTTCTTATATTATAATTATTGTTTATTATTATTTTTTAATTCACAGTTAATCTGTGCAAACAAACAATTCTGTCAGTAAATTAATTGAAACCCAAAAAGTTAATAATTATGATAATTATAAAAAAAAATATCGTTGCAATAACAAATAAACACCAACCAGGATTCAATTTTCATCAGATTGTGGTCTAACACAAGACTGAAGTACAAGATCAACCGAAATTATTCTCTGTTTCAGTCATTTATCTCAGAAAATAAAAGACCTGACCTAATTACTTCTATGGTACATTTGTATACATCCACTATGCTGTTGTGTACACATTTTTGTTTATATAACACCATATTTTTTACATTTTTTTTCTATAATTTCTTTATTGATTTTCGACAAATAGATGTAATTTATCGTTGGTTACATGCCTTGAACAAAATTGATCCAAAAAAAAAAAATACTAAACAATTATGTAGATTCATATGCGGAGGTGAACAAACTTGAACTTGGAGTTCAACAGGTTAAAATAAATGTTGTATCATATGTCCAGGAGACTGCAAAATAAAATTAAAGGACAATTGAGAATTTTCTGTGAATCAAATTTATTTTTGTTCTCCATTCATTATCTCCTTGTGCAATTACCTACTCAGCCGAACTTGAACTCTATATCAGGGGTGGTGACCTCTTTCATTGTCACAGTGCGGAACTGATGTCAATGTTACTATAGTTTAGGTACCAAGCGACAATGTAAACGTTTGAAAAAATTAGACCTTGTTGCATAAATACATGAATCATGTACCCAAAAGCAAGAGTTGGGGGGGGTGTGTTTTTTATTGCTTTTGTAAATCAAAATCTTGTGATGTACCCTTTTTAATTTTTTTTTTTCATAATAAAATAAAAAAAATAGATTGCTAGTGTAGCTCCTTCATAAAAATATCATAAATTCAATACAAATATATGCATGTGATAAGTTGTCTGCAATTAGGAAGTGTTTTGTAGCTTTCCTATCGATGAGTCAGTTCTGAAAGCTATAATGAATACCACGCCCAATTTACATTTACAGACATCGCCATCTACGGTCGAGTGTATTGTGCCCTCATTCATTAAAATGACGTGGCAGAAGAACCTGATGATGCAATGTTGTTTTAACGAAGTGAAACCACCATGTAACTGAATTATGTTCAGCCCCCCCCCCCCTCCAAAAAAAAACGTTTTTGGAGAGATTATTAATAAATACCTAGAAATTGAGACAGTAAAGACCGAAATAACGGAACTAGTTGCATGTACGAAAAGGGAAACGAAAAATGAATCCCATTCTAAACTTTCTACCTCAGTATATAATTAACGTAGACATAAATAAATATATAACTACAACCTTATTACCATTCTGGAATATGAATATAAAATGTAATGATTTGTTTATATTACTCTCAAATTAAAAAAAAAGAAAAAGGCAAACATATCCATAGATATTTGCATAATTGTGCATTTTACATTTTATTATATTGAGAAAATATATTTTATTCTACTCCGTTGCAAACAGACAAACGCAATTACAATAAATTTAAAGCAGATTATATATAGACGAGCATTTGAGATATACCAGTCGTAAATTATTTTTTTCAAAATTACACGAAGAGTCAGTGAAAAACACTTGGATTAAAACGTGTTCCACCTCGCTGGGTAAGAGAGAAAACTATTATTTGTGAATGGGGGGAAAGTGAAGGTAAATCACACGTTCTTCCTGAGAAGCCGCTAGAATTTCACCCAAAATATTCAAACGATGTGTCGTAACTGCTGTGATTATTAATACACTTCTTTTTTAATATCATATGTGTGTTTTTGTTTGTTTTTGATTTTTAATTATTATATTAGTTATTGTTTTTGTATTTGGTATCACCCAATTTTGTGACGGTCTGGTAACCCAGATATAGTAGCGGGTATTCTTATTGTGCGTTTGTTTGTTTGATTGACGTCAGATTGTATATGAATTCCAGATATGCAACACTGCACAACCAAATCCAAAGCCTTTTCGAATATTGTTACAAAATACAGTATACTGTATCAGATATATATATACTCAGAGGTACATTATGAGAACCACAGTGTCTCTAATTATTTGACACCACAGTTAGAATTTGTATTAACGTGTTTTAATTTTTCCGTATTTTGTGCCAGGCCACATTTTCGGACATTGAAGTGTTTTGTTTATTGTTGGTGTTGAACATGAAATCTTTCTATTAAACCTAATGTCACGTGTTTGGAAGTCATATCCGACTGTACTATGAACAGTCGGGTTCGGGAATCGAACCCAATGACCATAACTTCTCTGATCAAGCAGCAATGCCCGACAGGCGACTGATTCCAATAACTGATTCGGTATACGAAAGCACGCCGCCAACGGCATTAAAAGTCTATGCTTGGAGAATTTGATACTCGTTGACGCAGACAGAATCACCACTGTAGCATCGCTCAGTTGTACCTTATCAACGTTAATATATCCCCTCCATTTAAAAACAAACAAAGTCGATGACATGCTTGTATTTCAGACTGTTTTATTTAATATAATACCAGAGTAACCCAGTCTTAAATTTGTGGATGGAATCTAAGCCGAAATCCAATCGGTTTTGAAATTATAGCGGAG